GTTTGATAAACTTTCATTCAAAATTTTAACCCTTATAAGGGACGCTCTTTTTTTTGTTTTACAGCAAATTGTTCGTTAGTAAAAATTTAAAATATTCAGCGAACTAATAGCAGTCATTAAAGCCAACCACGCATCAGCATGATAAATTTCATTATTTTATTTAAATTTTAGACGAAATAAGAAATTTGGAAAAATTGCAGCTAGTAATTTTAGTATAGAGTTCAGAAAGTACTTTCGAAAATTAATTTCTAAAAAATAAAAAATAATGATGTTCGATACTTTTAAATAAAGACTTTATACATAATTCATTATGATCTTGAACAAAAATTGTAAGTATGTTTCAATTTCCCAGATATGTACTCATATTGCACGATTCAATAATTAAATGTTGGATAAGCAAAACAGTTTTCTCTCTCCCTCATGGCAGGTCGCTTGGCTCCCTTACTAGAAAACCTTAATTCTGCTTTATGAAAGCGCGTACATTTTTTCATAATATACGCAAGTTAATTAGTTGTAAAAAAAAAATTTGATTTCCTTTAACATTTGATAGGCAGCACACAAGTTTTAGAGAATAGTAGGTTACGCCAAGAGCGAACTCGTAAGTTTAATGACGAAATGGGTTAAACTCTGTGGGTTGTTGCAGATTTTAAAATAGTTTTGCATAATATTATGTATAAAACAACTTAAAATTTTGAATATAAAATTCTAAATACTTGTATTGAATTCTTTTTTGAAATAAATGGCCATCACATTTTAATGGTTCTGAATAGTTTTATGTCGAACAAATGTATTTCAATATCAAAAAGTTTTGAAATTATTAAAATTAATAAAAAATTTTAACGAAAATTTCTATAGCTAGCAATTATAACTTATGTAATGACATTAAAATTACTTATTTTTTTTTTTTGATTATTTTGACATTAAAAATTATCAATATTTTTAGCGAACGCTCATTATTATAAAATATTTAATAAGAAAACCGGTTTTCGCATATTTTCTTTGTCTGCTGAAAAGCTTTTGAGATATGAATGATGCCTATTTTGTGAAAAAATCGTGTTAAAAATTCGAAGCGGTAAAAAAGTGAACAGTGGGCTATTGTTGAAAAAAAAAATTTGAAAAATAATTTGAAAAAAAAATTGAAAAAAAAAATTGAAAAAAAAAATTGAAAAAAAAAAATTTAAAAAAAAAAGATTTGAAAAAAAAATTTGAAAAAAAAATTGAAAAAAAAATTGAAAAAAAAATTTGAAAAAAAAATTTGAAAAAAAAATTTGAAAAAAAAAAATTTAAAAAAAGTTTGAAAAAAAAATTTAAAAAAAAATTAAAAAAAAAATTGAAAAAAAGTTTGAAAATAAATTTGAAAAAAAAAATTTGAAAAATTCATATTGATATTTTCTGAAAAATTAAAGCTAAGATGCGATTTTTTAGCAGATTCGTCAACCGTACCATTTTATGAATTCAGTGATATAAGTTTTTGAGCTGAAGACTTGAAATTTTGGTATTAAGAAAATCGATTGGTTAAATATAAAAAATTAATACATATGTGAGAAGAAGATATTTTTTTATTTTTTAATGATACTTAGGTATTTCCGCCCCCACGGGTGTACCTTTGGGTGAGACTCTTATTCACATTTGGTGGTCTTCGGCCACCTGGACCAAGGTTTCATCAAAACAACTTGCAACTTGCGCATAGTTAAAAATTTTCTGTGACTGCGTGGGCGTTACCAAAAAAAAAAATGTTGTATAATTTGTGTTTTCTTCTGTATGAAAAAAATTCTCCCTTATTTATTTTATTAGGATACATATATATGGGGTATTTTTTAATGGAAGAAATTTCTTTTTGATTTTTGATAATAATAATTTTTAAGTCTCTCCCATTGCGTTTGGGACAAAGTTCGGCGACGTCACCGGTTGTCGTAACCTTGTATCTTGTAAACTTAGAGTAGCACAAACTCTCTCCCTATTGGCTGGTTGAGCTTGATTGCATTTAATATTTTCTGATTATTTAAATTTATATTTTTTTAAACTATACTTTTTACGAGTAAACACAAACGACAAATATATCTTTCAATCAAGTTGTGTTGGTGCATCGACCAACGATCGATCGGTCTTAAGTAAGAAGTCGTTTATATAGGAAATCGTTAAAGAAAACCATTGCAGGTTTTAACATTTTTTATTTTTTTTGTATATAGAAAGTCTTACTGGTAATTTGCCTGCGTAAAGCAAAAGATGAAAACCAAAATGGTGGAGAAACGGATAAGAGCAAATCTGACGACTGAAGTAATTAACAACTGTTATTTTAAGTTTCTACAATACATATAATCAACTAACCATAGTTAGCTAAAAATAACTGATCAAATACAAATCTTCTTTCAACCGACGCCAGTTTTTTCTGCTTCCACCGGCGTAGTCGCTGTCGGTTAATACACAGACAAGAATGAAAAATCTTACTTGGAGTTATTTGTGCTCATTATAAGCCATAATATAAGAATCAAATACAAACGGTTATTCATTAATTATTTTTTTTACTTAAAACAATATTTATTTACATAGTGAACAAAAAATTATTGCTCAAAATCGGATCTATACAGAAAGCTGAAGTGATGAGTAGCCGAATAAAAAGAAAAAAAAACTCCCATATTGCTTCTGCTAAGTATTAAATTTTAAGTTTAAAATTATACATGTACACATTTACATTCTGAAAAGTTGTCAACATTTTTTACTATTTTTTAACTATGCCTTTGCGAAAAGCTTTCCGACTTCTCTTATTTACTCCAGTGATGCATACAGATAGTTTTGATTTAAAAAAAATCTTTTTTGACCAATTCTGATACAATATTTGATATTAAATAATAACCGCTTAAATTAAATGCCAATCTTCCTACTTTTCCCCCATAATTTAACTGCCTTTTTGGAAGACGGAAAATATTGAATCCCCCTTTCTACTACTTTGCAAAATGCAACCGTTTGCCATAACTCCGTTCTCGCTACTTATCCAATCTTTGATTATTGAATCACACTCATACTTTATTTATGAGTATATACTTAAAGGGTGATTTTTTTTTAGCTATTATCTTTGTGGCAACACTGGTTTAAACAGCTGACGAACGTTTCGTGTTTTGTATCACTGTCGAGCAGTTTGGTCTTTAACTTAACCATGAATCGTCTTACAAACGAAAAATGCTTGCAAATTATTGAATTTTATTATAAAAAAACAATTATTTTCAGCGACGAAGCTCACTTTTGGCTTAATGGGTGCGCAAATAAGCAGAATTGTCGATTTTGGAGTGAAGATCAGCCAGAAACATTGCAAGGGTTACCAATGCATCCAGAAAAAGTCACAGTTTGATATAGTTTATGAGCAGGCGGCATCATTGGAAAGTACTTCTTCAAAGATGTTGCGAATCGTTACATAACTGTGAATAATGAACGCTACCATTAGATGATATCAAATTTTTTTTCACCCAAAATGCATGAGCTTTTTTGTAGGGCTATGTTAAATCTAATGTCTATACAGACAAGCCTGCTTCAATTGACGCGTTAGGGGTCAACATGGAAGCATTTATTAGTGAGATACCAGCCGAAATGTTGGAAAGAGTATGCCAAAATTTGACTAAGCGGATGGACCATTTGAGGCGCTGTCACGGTCAACATTTGCATAAAATAATCTTTAAACATTAAATTATATGGACCACACGATCGATTCAAATAAAGATTTCAAGCATTTTTCTGAATTTTATGTGTTTTTTTTAAGTCTCATTTAGCTCTTTAAAAAGCACCCTCTATAACCACATGCATGCATACGTTTAGGCTATTATTGTATTAACGCACTTCTGCGGCAGGGAAAAATTCAAATATTCGTCTGCGTTGGAAGTTTGCCATCAATTGTAGTTTTTCTTGTTGTTGTTGTTGTTGTATCTTTAAAAAAAAATTATTATCATTTGACTACCCTTTTTTTGTTAATGTTTGTTTTTTTTAATTCACATACATAAGTCTAAATATTCGCTATTTGCTACTCAATGCAACTATCCAAAAGACAGGCTTGGTTGTGCGCCGCTTTTCTGTTGGCTACATATTCCGCTCAACTTATTTGCCATATTCAATAATTTTTTTCTCGCGAAATTTATTTTTTGTTAGTTTTTTCATTTTTTTTAAATTGTTATTTTACATAGAAAAGAAAAATTATTGTTTTGTTTCGTCTTTCATTGCGAGCAAATAAGCAAAGCTTCGCAAAAATGTATCCCAACGTTTCTCGAAGCCATTTCCAGTTGCTTACATCTATATACATATACACATACTTACAAGAATACAAATATGTATGTATTTACCTGTTTATCTATACAACTAAGTACAAACACAAAGACATCACACTCACACCTATATACTTGTACACTTAGCCAGAGCAGAGCAGTCACTTTGCCCACCATCGTCAGTCGTGGCGTTTGTTTGTCTCATTTCTTTTGTGCAATTAAATTTAGTCTGTTCGTCCTTTAGTTAAGTTTCGTCATTTATATGTATGTATTGTATATGTTTTTAGTATGTGTATTTGTGTGTATTTAAGTGTTTTTTTTTTCCTCTTTTAAAGTTCACAAAGTTTTTCAGTTAAATTTTAATTTTGTTCTTTTTCGGTGCATTTAGTTGTCTTCTGTTGCTTTTTCCTCTTAGCATCTGCCTTTTTAATTTAATATATTTTTATTTTATTATACGTACGTACTTTTGCTCCTTTAACAGTTTTAATTCTTACTTTTTACAAACAGTACTTTTTTTCATTGTTCACTGCAAGGCTATCCAGCACCGGCCCCATCGAACAGCAATGGCAATGGTAATAGCTCCACCTTTGCCCTTTACTAAGCGAACAAAAACAACATCAACAGAAGTGCAAGTACACGTGAATAAGTATTATGGGTCTCCCCTTAAACATTTCTCATTTCCCAATTTTCAATTCGTTTGAGTTTTATTTTTATATTCCCTTTACATTTCCCTTTTTATTTAGTATCTAAGCAAATATATGTATGTACATATCTGCATGTATATGTATGTATGTACTTGTGTCTATTTGTTTGTTCTGAACTTTGCCGTATGCTAAGACAGAAGCATGTATGTATATTTATCTAAAGGTACACATCAGCTTGGTTTAATTGTAGTTTCAGCTTCTGAGAGATTTCGGTTTTTACCTTCGGTTCATTGTTCGGTGGGCCGAGGCGTTGCTGCATCTCTTAGCGTATTCTGTGTGCCACCACAATTGAAGCTTACCATTTTCCCGCCTTAGTAAAACAACATCTGCAACACAGTTGTCAGCGATGCCAGTGCGGGCCACGTATAGTAAATTCCAATGGAGAAACTCAGTGTGGGCCGACCAGCCGCTGCCGATTCTCCAGAGTGTGAGGCGCCATTTCCTAAGGCTGCCATTCCTATACTTGGAGCAGTTGTTGTTGTTGACGAAGCTTCCGCTCGTAGGAGTTCAACTATATTTGCGACCAAGGACGGGTTATATTGATGAGTTGAAAGGAGTGGCGCATATGAAAGAAATAGAGAAAGAAAAAATGGTTTTGAGATAAATTTCTGTAACCCGCAAAAATTCAACGTTGGTTTTTGTTGGTGTACAAATTGGTTGCTAAAACATTAGATTGACATTTCGAGCGAAGGTAAATTGATGGAATTAATTGGGCACAACGTAGCAGATTCCCGGGGCAGTAGAAGTTCTTGTGTGTGTATAAGTGTGTGTGTGTGTGTGTGTATTGCTGGCAGGCATTAACAATAAATTTTTAAGTTAGCCTCCCACAATTGAGTAGCCCCAATTACAGACATAAAATTACGGGGAATATTAGTGCAGTACTGTTATTTTAAGCATACCATTTAAGCTCAGTGAGTAAGTAACTGTGATGAGGCAGTTAAAAAAGGTCTGACTGCTAGTAGGTTTACGACAGGCTCAATGGGCAGGCCAAGCGAAATGAATGTAAGGCAAAAATAAAAAAAAATATATGTAAAACTTTCAAAGCAATGAGTAAGATTTCAATGAGGGCTTTAGTAAATATCTGAAAGGCTTTAATATTCTGACTAAAAAAAAAGCTACTGGGAATCGAACAATTACGGCGATCGCCTTCTTCTTGGCAATACCAAAACCAAAAATACTACTTCAAGGCACTTGCTTTCACCCGCCTGTAGAAGATATTAACGGAGTTCGCCGCAAAAACTGAAGTGCAAACAAACTGATCGACAGGTCACGCTCAAGCTATTAGACGGTAAAGAAACACTTGAAACTACAAAGCGACAAAAACATTTTTTACAAACTCTCCAAGCGGTAACCATAAATGGTCATTAAGGGGCTTTGAACCCGCTGAAGCGATTTTGGCCTTGTTGTTCTTGTCTCACAAATGGAGGGGCCTACAATTTATTCAAACCCGCCTGAGCCGGCTGATAGTTACTTATAAGAAACCTTTATTATAGGCCTGTAAAATGCTGGGAGAGCTTGACATCCACTGAATGCTGAACGAGCCAGTACCATCAGTACGTACTGCACGAAATGCTAACCACTCGGTACTCAAATTTATCGAAATCAGACGACTGTAATACATGTGGAACTGACACGAACAAGGGGGTGAACCATTGGTATTTGAAATTAAGATAACTCTATCGGATGAGATGTTCATTTATCAGTTCAAATCAGAATCACAAAAGTATACATACTTCGTGAAACATAATGGTCTGTACGAGTTCCTGTTCGCTCCGTTCGGTATCAGCAATTTACCAGCGGTGTTCACCCGTTTTGTCAACGCTAAAGCTTTAACACAGTTAATAGCCTTCCTGTAGCTCAAGATTGCCTTAGTAGAGTCATCCATATTAACTTTCTTTAATCCAGCGTGACAGACAGTGGTGTATAGGGACACTTCTATGTACGGGTATGAGGAATCGTTGATGCAAAAGGACACTGAAGACAGATAATGGCACCCTGTAGAATGTTAAGCAGATAAAAATCGTTGACAGAACAGAAGTACCATTCCTACGAATCGGAAGTATTGGCAATATTAGAGTTCCTTTGCGAATATATCGTTGGGCGCGGCACTTACATGGCTTCCAATATGAAAATAAACACCACTCAGGAAACCAGTTGATACATGTTAATAGATAGATAGTTGAAAGAGACTTTTATATTAACAACATAACTCCCAAGCTGACTAGGTTAGTAAAGAGTTTTGTCGAATCACTGGTATCAGAGACCAATCAGGGGGATAAAAGGTTTAATGTTTCCAATCAATAACGAAGACAAGCCATTCGGATCACGAAGGAACGAAAAAACGGAGAAAACAGAAGGTGGATTGGATGCAGCATCCATAAGAAGACAAGCCGTTCGGAGCCTAGAGAAAACGAAAAAACAGCATAATCACATTCTTGTAACCGTCGATGAATTTTCATCTTTTTCCCTGCCTGTATCCTACTAAAAGTGAAGAACCTCGAGATCGTCTGAGAGAGTAAGCAGCTCTTTTGGAAATCTGTGCCGAATAATAACGGGCAGAGGGACTGGGCTTACTTCGAACTCATTCATGAACTATTCTAGAGGCGAAAATATACAACACTTAGTCATCGCGACTGGTGTACTGAAAGGCAACGAGAAGGTGGGTAGAATCCTTACGGTGGGTGAATCTTTTCTAATAAAACTATGTTTAGAAAATCCAGGAAAGCGGTACAGACATGTGTTCAACAAAATAGTTCACAAACTCGAAGCACATGAGCGTTAACGAAAACCACGATATCCGCGATTAACCGGAATGGTAAATGATAGAAGAGTTGGAGGAAGAGAGACACTAAACTCGAGTGGAAACACGAAGTAATATCAGTCACATACAGGAAGAGAATAAAAGGAATTTTAATAAAAAGCGCAAACTTGAAAGGGAGTACGATAATGGGGAGTTAGTCGCCGTCAAACGCACTCAATTCGGAAGTGGATTAAAGCTCAAGTAGAAATTCTTAGGCTCTTATAAGGTCTTCTCTAAGAAAAACCATGGCCGCTATACAATGAAGAAACTTGGAGACGTTGTAGGACTAAAGGTAACTCAAACATTGGTGGAGTACGTTAAGCCGTGGGACTCTTCATTCGAAGCTAATGAATCGCCAGAATGGCCGAATGTGGGATTGACAGAAGAACAGAAGACCACAAGAAGCGGATGGAACTTTTAACTTAATATTCTAATAGTATGAATTCCAATTAAATACAACCCTACCTTGACCGAACAAACCGACGACATGGGTCGCACTTACTGAACGAAGATGACGCTTAAAAAGGATTAAATTCAAAGGACATTTAGTAAGTTCAAAGAAAGCAGCGGACACGATCGGACATATAAAAACGTATATAAACTAAATCTTGTAATAAAACTGTAAATTATTTAATAAAAGCGATATTTTATAAAACTATAAAATAGTCACATTCTGGAATGGCTTTCAGGGAGCGCGCCGTTTCAAGTTTAATCTCCGCAATCGACTCAAAACGGTGTCCTCAAAGTGGTCTCTTGAGTTTTTGCAAGAGCCAGAAGTGACATGGTGCTAAATCCGGCTTATACGATGGTTGGGGAACGATATTCGTGGAATTTTTAGCGAAATGGTCACGAAGACGAGGACAACTTTTTACCATGAAATTGAGTGTTTTTGTAACCAAACAAGATTTGACTTTTCGTAGGCCCAAATAATCTTTAAAATTCGCTTTTACAGACCCTTCTGGTATTCCAATCACATCAGTAAGGTCTCTTATTATTGAGCACAAATTTCTTAATTTCATTGACTTGTTTCCCATCAGTTGACGTTGATAGTCGTCCCGAGCGCTCCAAGTCATCAACACGTTTCCGACCCACTTTGAAGTCTTTGTACCACCTATGCACGTTCATACATAGACATAGTTGAGTCGCCGAAGGCTTTCTGCAATATTCTCAACGTATCACCAACCGAAAACTCGTTCCGCACACAAAATTCGATCGCACTTCTTTTCTCAATCAAATCAGATATTTTCAGTTGTTTAGTAAACACAATCGTAACTAAAATACCAATGATGACATTGACTTGAAATTTGGCGAAGATATCAATAGCAGTGTTACCAATATTAAAAAAAAAGAATTAATTTGAAATATTGGAGGTGCGAAGCTCAAATTAAAAATTAACCTTACAGTATTATATGATCATTGGGTGGACCACCTACCGTTTGCTTTTGGTACTACGACCTAGTTGCTCTTTGAGATCTTCGTCTTCATAATGCAAGGTCGTGATATACCAAATAGTTGTGCTTATTAGAGCGAGTCACAAATGTTCCGAAAATCGTATTGCGAAAACGTATTTTTATGAATAATATTCAGAATTTGGTGTAGAAACTATGTACGGGTCTAAAATGGATTTTGCGTCAACGACCTTTTGGAAAATAGCATTTACCTCAGTTTCAGTAACATAATTTCGATAAAATGCACATAGAACTTTGCCGAAGTTGGGTAGAACTCACTTTAAGAGTTTTCTAACTGAGAAAGCATTTTCACCACCTTTCCGAGTCTTTACAAAACTCTTAGATACTTCCAATTTTTTATATAGATAGCGGTAAATTACAATATTTGGATGTTGTTCTCTTTGAGTAATAGTTAACTGTATAGTAAGAGTTTGAAAATATAGGCAAAAGCAAAATCTATAACGCATGTTCAAAAAAATAAATAAAAATGAAAAAATCCACTCTACAAAGCAATGCTTGTCTGAAGAGAAGCTTGTGGCTATGAAAAAACATTTTTTTAACCACCTTTAACTCTACGAAAATCTTTTTTCTACATAATTTTTTTTTTCTTTTTTCGTATTTTAGGGAGTGACAGACTGTTAGAAAGGGTTTCAGAAATGCTATATATTTTTGCTTTAGACAACTTTCCGGTAATCGGTCTTCTTCAACCAGTTCACCCCAAAATTAATATTTTGACTCTTGCTACGCATGACTCCTTCATTTGCTAAATATCAAAAGATTCCAAACCTACAAGTTGTGGCCACATAATAATTTCTGTGGAATAAATCGAAAACATTTAAAAGTAGTCGATAGAAAAAAATATGTCAACATGACCGATCCATGGCTGAGAGAAACAAATATTTACAAATCTAGATAACAAGTTGAACGAATGGAAAAATTACTAAATGCTACCGAAACTGGTACTCTTTTAGCGTTCACGTTGAAAAAGAACAACACAAATTAGTGTTTTCAAATCCCAGAAATAATAGGTGATCAAGTTTTCAGTCAAATGCGCTCCGACATTCCAACGCACTTCAACTTAACCTAACTCAATCAATCAACTTACTCCGATAACTGTTGATCTCGATCTAAATTAACCTAGAAATACTCAAAACGGTGGTACAATCCGGTGTTTAACAAAGCGCAGTACGATTTGGAAGGGAAGAGTTCGAGTTCTGGTCCGATTAACATTCAAATTATAGAAAATTTATTTTCCTAATTGCC